ACCCAGGGATCGAACCCAGGTCTCCCGCATTGTGGGCAGATTCTTTACCAACTGAGCCACAAGGCAAACCTGTAGAACCATGAGTCTTGTTCAAACCCTCAGCCTCTATATGGTAAGTCTTTTTTCACCATTCACATATTAATTTTCATATGGTTTACTAAAAGCAGTCACATTTCTAATCTCCTTTGAGCATTCACCCTGCAAATCTACAAACTCTTTTGTACTTCATTCTATTACGCAGGCAAAGCAGGGCATTTGTCTCTGTTTACAGATCAATTAGTATGATCACTGATCTTTCCAAAGATGATAAAGCTACTAAATACTAAAACTGCAACATATCCAGAAAAAGAAGAAAGAGAAAGCAACACATACACACACAAAATTTTTGTCATCAGACATGTGAAGGACCATCATATAAAGGAATCAGATATGTGCTATAAGGCCCAGGAGTTAAAAATAAAAGATATTCAGTATTCAATAAATAAACAATGGTAATCAATTCTGTGCCAGATGCTTGTTTTACACCAGCTAAGAAAAATCCAAACCCTCAAGAGGTTCAGACTAGTAGAGAAGATAAGAGAGAAGTAACATGCCATGAAAAGGACTCAAAGAGCTACGGGGACACAGAGAGTGATGACTCTACGTCTCTTTGGGGGCACAGGCGAGTAGAGAAAAATTCACTCAACAGATGAGTATGAGTTTCAAAAGCAGATAAGATGGGAAGTGGCATCACCAGGAAGAAAGAACAGCATGAACAACGGCCTGGAGACCTGAAGTTAACCTGGAGAGGTGGACCACCGGGTACACGTGAGAAGAAATGAGGCTTTAAACTGGGAGTGTGGGAGACTGTGGTAAAAGACATAAATGCCTCCCCATTTCCATGCCAAGAAGTTTATACTCTAACATGCAAGCTATGGAACACTACTATGAGGTGATAAGTAGCAGAGTGGCATGCTCATAAAAATATGTAAGAAAGCTCATTTGGGCAGGACAGATTTCTAGAGGCTAACTGTGGAGATAAAGAGATTAATCACAGAGGCACTGTTGTTACTCGGTGAGGTGGTGATGATTCAAGAAATACCTACGAGGTAAAAATCAAGAACTATTGGCTATAGTTGGGGTTGCTTCCCAGGGGCACAGTGGTAAGAACTATTGGCTACAGTTGGGGTTGCTTCCCAGGGGTGCAGTGGTAAAGAATCCACCTGCCAATGCAAGAGACGCAGGAGACGAGTGTTCAATCCCCGGGTTGGGAAGATCCCCTGTAGGAGGAAATGGCAACCCATTCCAGCAACCCATCTTGCCTGGAGAATTCCATAAGACAGAGGAGCCTGGCCAGCCAAAGTCCACGGTCTGGCAAAGAGTCAGACATGACTGAGCGCGCACACACAGACTGGCTATGGGAAAGAGGGAAGGGGAAGAGTCCAGGGTGACTTCTAAATCTCAACTTGGTTGAGTGAAGAACAGTGAGGTCCAAGACAGGTAACAAAGGAAAACAAGTCCATGCAATCAATCAATCAGTATAAGAGTCCTAGACCAGAAATTGATTTGTTGTTGTCTGGAGAGAGGGGATGAGAGAAGAGGAGCAAAGATAAGTTTACCTTTGGTCTTGTGTAATGTACGGTACCTCTTCAGTGAAGCTAGAGAGTGATACGTGAAGAGTGGACCAGGAGAGTCACTGGCTTAAATCAGCAACTGAAGACAAGTAAAATGTACAGAATAAGATCAAACTTAGACACCAATATTCAATGAGAAGATGAAAGAAAAACCTGAAAACAAATGAAGAACTTATTACAGGAGTATGAGATGAATCAAGAGGTAGGGTGACACCAAAAAACGGCAACAGAAGAGAAAAGAATTCAAGAGGGTTGGGGAGGATGAAAATTAAAGTTAAATGTACTGCATAAAGCAAAGTTTAACTTAGACACCAATATTTAATGAGAGGATGAAAGAAAAACCTGAAACGAAGAATTGATTACAGGAGTACAACATAAATCAAGAGATAGGGTGACACCAAAAAAAGGCAAGAAAAGAGAAAAAAATTCAAGAAAGATGGGGAGGGTGAAAATTAAAGTTAAATGTACTGCATAAAGCAAAGTTTATGCTCTGTTAGTTTAAATAACTAACAGAAGTTATTTGAAATGGGAACAGACTACCTTGTGAGGTAATGAATCACATTATCAAATTAATGATTCAGGCTGACAGTCATCTACGCAGGCTGTTAACAAGAGGATTCTTACCTCAAAAGAGAAGTATAGCTACATGGTCTCTATAGTACACCTCTGAAGTCTAGGTCAAGGCTAGCCTCAGCGTCATTATGACATTTTATCAAATATTCTTCTGCAATTTGATCAGAAAATTGAATATTTGATTATTTTAATAAAACCTTTAAAAAACAATCTCTACATTTCATGTAACTCAGAAGTAATCAATACTGGATTAAAACTTCTCACTAATTCTGCTCCTGGGATACAAAAAGTTGCCACTGAAAGTGTAGACAGCTGATGTAGTCTCCTGAAACTCGAACTTCAGATTTCAAATGAGCTCTCACATTGTTTTCCTACCAGTCTCCATTCTGGCACCCTAATTCCACCTGTGCACCATTCCTTATTACTCTAATTAGAGAAGACTTGCATTGCACAAGCGGCTCTGTCATGTCCTTTTTCTCTTGGTCCCTGCACATCTTTTCAGTAATCTGCTTCTCCTTCCTTCCTGAAGACCATGTAGCTAATCACTTCCAACTCTTCCACTGCTGACCATTTTCTCTCACCAGTCCTCCCCTCTTTCCTCTACCATCTCATGTCTACTCAATGTTGGGAAAAACACCCAATTTATCCTGCTGTCCACACTCTATTGTTCTCCTTTTACTACCAAGTATCTCTATATCCCACCACCTATTTGCTATGGTTCCCTACAGAAAGGTATCTAAGACTACCCCTTAACGGAAATAAAAAATTTACGCCACTGACAAAAGACATATGATTTACTGAAACAGCTTGTTCAGTCACTGCTGACTCCCTTTTCAATTCCCTTAATGTCTTTGCAGCCTGCGAATGAACTGACCAACCCTTCCTAGCTGCAGTTACTCCTTTTGCTTTTGCAGTGAGGCTGGATGGATTGTGGAAAACACTCTGCAGAGAATCAGAAGATTCATGCTTGAGACCCAACTATACCACTAATTATCTGTGCGTCTCCTTACCTCTGCTCCTATTCAGATCTCACTGCTGACATCCTGACACCCAGTCTAGGTTAGGTCCCTGCAGTCTAAGCTTTCTCAAAACCTAGTCTTCTCAGTAGTGCTTATCAGAACAACTTAATTACTATATAATTAGTATTTAAATGGCTGTCTTTCCTACACACGCAGGACTGCAAACTCCATGAAGGCAAAGTGCACATTTCAGCCATGCTTCGCACCTCTCATCAGCACAAAATAAAAGTCCATCAAATGAATTAATGGTGAAATAGTTGTCATGACTTCCTAAGAGACTTATTTTTATAAATCTAAAATTACTAGCACTTTACTTACAAAATTACTGACAAAATTTTAAACAGAAACTCCATCAATTACCTACCACAAACATGATGAATTATATATAAAATTGTACATGTAAAATTAAATAAGTCTTCTATGATAGCTACATTTTTCTTGCTTATCCACAAGAACAGAAAGGGGTGGATCAGGTACTTACATTTCAGGACCAACATGTGTACTCCAGGTTGAATGTACAAGTGTAAGCTTGATACTAAAAACCTATTGTTTAGGTAGCTGTTTTGATAGTACTTTGGGTTTAAAACTTTTTAACACTGGTAAAACCTATGTGCTACATATACTCTGTGAGAAAATCAAAAAGAAAGCTTTTATCAGACAAGTTACATGGCAGTGTGATTTTAAACAAACCAGGGAAAAATAAGTAATAGTTTAGTTGAATAGAAGCTGCCACTGTGCCTGATAAAATGACTTTCAAATATAAAAATTTCAGATCTCATGCAACTAGGTGAAAGTTGTCAAGTTTTATGATACACCGCCTTGGCCAAATAATTTAAACAGATTACATGCTAATTTGCCCTTCTGCTGAGTGTGTCCCGCTCCTCAATTATACAGTAAGGTCCTTACGGGCAGGTTTGGCGTTTTGTTCATTGGTCCCCTTAAATAAATAGGAATGCAGGTAATTTCAATAATCTATAATCGACAAAGTCTGAAAATAGCGTTTGTGGATAAACATATTTAAATATTGCCACTTGAAAACAACGTGCAAGTACTTAAAAGCCGATACTTGGACAATTCCCTAGGTTAACAGCCAGATAACAGGCTGTAAATATCGTTGTAATCCCCAGGAAAGAGGTATTTTCATAACGGAAACACTAACAGATATAATCACTTGGAGCTGTTCTCCAAGGCGCTCTCATCGTTAAGTCAACACCACCAGTTACGGGGGGTCAGTCGTGACCCTCGGACACACTCGCTCTGCCGCAGCCTCGGGGCTACAAAACCCGCATGAGGAGTCCCTGGAGATCAACCAGCGCTTCCCTGGGACTTCAGCTGGGAAATCCCTGGCCAGGGAATGCGGAGTTCAAGACCCCCCCTTTCCTGAAATTAATGAATTGGCCATACGATTGTTTATTTAATGAGGTGTGTAGTGGCCTCTACTGGTGCTTGTGTGAGCACAAGAATGTCCCACTCTTACAAGTGGGATGAGCCTTGGGGGAGGGGAGGGAGGCGAGGGGTGAACCTGCCTCCGGGTACAAAGCGCCCAACTAGACCCCGGAGCCCCCGATGCGCCCCCACCGCCGCCCCTCTCCTTGGCGGCGCCCCAGCCTGCCCACTCCACTCTCCACCCTGTGCGATCCCCTTTCTCCTCAGCAACCCGAGACGAGACAGAGAAGTTCCTGCACGTTTCCTCCTGAATCCTAAACAAAAACACCGCAGCCGCCGCCGGTGCCGGTACCGCGCCCCCGCCCCCACCCCGAGCCTCCCGGGTCGGCGCCCCGCGGCCGCCGCTTACCTGAGGACTGCGGCGGGGAGCCGCTCCTGGCGGCCGCGACGCCTGGCGCCCGGCGCCCGAGCAGCAGCAGGCAGCAGAGCCAGAAGAAGGAGGTGCTGAGGAGTCGCCAGGCTCCCGGCTCCGCCGCCATCTCTTCCCGGCAAGCGGCAGCGGCGGCGGCAGCACCGCGGAGCCCTCGCCTCCTTCCCTCCTGCGCGCCTCAGCCGGTCCCTCGCTGCAGGCTTGGCTCCCGCGGCGGCCGCCGCCGCTGCTCCAGCCCGACCCGGCCCGGCCCGCGCGGCCCCTCTCGCGGGAGGGGAGACTCGGGGGCGCCTCCCTCCTGCAGGGAGGCGGAGAGGGGAGGAGAGCAGAGAGGGGGGAGTCAGTACATTCCGGGGCTGGGGGGCGGGGGGGGGGTGGGTCCGTCTCTAGGTTCCAGGCGCCGCCACCCGCCGCCGACTCCGGCTCCACACACACCAGCGCGAGGGGGGCGGAGACCGCGGGCGGCAGGGATGGGGGGCGGGGACCCCGGGCGCGCACCCCCGCGCACGCGCAGGCGCGCGTCTCCCTCGCCCGTATCCTCTCGGCTCCGCGCGCGGCCCGCCCCCGCTGCAATCCGGGCTGACGCCTCGCGGCCGCGGGCGGCGGGCCCATTCCCCTCCCCCTTCTCCCCGGAGCCGCGGACGGGCGCGGGGAGCGCGCGCCGAGAGCTGCTGCTGGCGTCAGGGAAACCCCGGAGAAGCGGATCCTCCTCCTCCTCCTCTTGGTCTCCTCGCACCCGGGAGAAACACACCCCTTCTCTCTTCGCCGCCCGCCTCACCTCCCCAGACGCCTCTGGCTGCGGAGACCAGAGGATGAGAGGCGCTCCGAGCCCGTGCTTGTCCGGGAGGCCGGAGCGGGTGCGCACCTCTTTCAGCTTGGGCCCGGGGCCTCTTTATAGGGCCTCAGAGGAAACCAAATGGCCTCCGGGAGGAAACCTGGGTGCGCAGAGGGTCGGCGCGGGGATTTATGTGCCAGCCAAAAACAATAGTGATCCCGCCCGGCTCTTGCTGGGACCTGGCGCGGCTCCCGTGGGAGGGGGCCCACCGCGCTGCCGCTGACCTCCCGCTTCCCGGCCGGGCCGCCCTCGCCGCGAGCTTCCCCGGGACAGTGCCAGGTCCGCTCGGACCGCGGGGCCCGCGCCCCCACCCGCGGCTCTCGGCCGGGGTCCAGGGAAGCGGAGCGCAAACAAAGGTGCCGGTGTCCGCTCCACCAGCCGGTGTGGGGGCCTGGGCGGAACCCCATGACCCCCTTTGGGCCGATCCGCGGGCTCTGAGACCTTTTACCTCTACCTTTGCGGGCCACCTCGCGTTTTCGTACCAGGAAATCACATCTCTTCGCTGGTGAACCGGGAGCTGGAGCGTTGTGATTTTAAACCACTTAGTAATCGTGAGGTAGAACCAGGTCACGCAAAGTTAGGAGAAAGCAGTTTGTCCTTACACGGCTGATGAGAATACTGAAAATCGTACAGGTTGCACCCATGGAAGATATTTTGAAAAAAAAAAAAAATTGTGTGGTTATACACTTGGAGAGTCATATTTGATTGTTAATATGAGTTAACAATTATTCTATATATTGTATACTCAATAATCAAAATGTGTTGCTTTCCACAAGCAGATGGCTAGTTCTCTGACTTCCATAGCCGTCTGTGCCATCTCGTAATTACTTTATTCAGTTTTCTTTTATTCTGAAGTGACAGAAAGCAGTGTAAGGTTTGCGGTAACATTGGGAGGGATAAGCTCAGAATCCTCCTAAAACCTCTCAAATCATCAAAACAGTGGAGTCAGAAACCCTTCAAAACAATTGACTCTTAAAAGCGCAAACACAGGCTTACTGTTTTCCGCTAGGGAAACAATCTAAATACCTTTTGTTTTGGTTAGACTTGTTAACCAGCAAAAATATTTCCTAAATACCCCTGATTGACCTGTTAAATTAGAAATACATTACTTCCCAATTACTTCCCAAGTATTTGCTTAATTAACCTTTAATAATCACATCATTATTCAGTTTTCTGAGATAATTAACGAGAAAGCTCTTTGGAAACTATAAATTGCCTGGCAAATGTTAATATTCAGGCATCATTTCTAAGTCTGGAAAATTTTCGTTGTAAGTATAAAATGTGTAATGTGGGTTCTAAAACAAAATTTGCATTTATCTTCAAATTTGAAAAGTATATGATTTGTGACTAATGAAGTAATCAGATTGATTTTCATGTATGACCTTTGTGAACTGTCTAGTTAATTGATCAGTCCACTGTGTGTATCAGGGTAAAATCAAAACTTTAAAACACTTTGTGTAAAATAGGGTGACTGAGTTGTATATTGCTGGCTTGTGCTTAAATCAGTTTTAACAAAACCCACTCTAATACAGTACTAATAAATGGAGCCCCAGATTAAAAGTTACAAATTTTGTAACTATTCAAGAGTAGGATTGTGAAGGAACCCAGACACACTTGAATTCAGATCCTTCACCTTGTTTCAGTGTAAATGACATTGTAGAGGTTCCCTTTAAAAATCATCACTTGGGGTAGTTAATCTCTCTTATCTTTAGTAAGGCATCTCGGAAAAGATTTTCTTAGGCAGCTTATCATTTTCATTCTCCAAACAAGATTTTCAACTAATATCTCAATCCGCATTTATACGACTAGTCAACATATTTTATGTAGTCTAAACTATATTAACCTATGAAGTGATATTAAACCATTCATGAAATTAACACTTTTTTTTTAATCTAAGTAAAGTTAGAACGTGAGGCCCATGTTCAAGGAATAGTGCACAAAGACACTTTTACAGCAAAGAAAACAGACTGGCCATTGTGTTAGTATAAGTTATCAAAGCACAGGCCAAAAATAACTAGAGCAAATATTCTTGTGAAATTTAACTGTACTTTGATAGGAAAATTAAATGAAAAATTAATAAAGCCTGTGAATATAAAACTTAGTAAGAATCTTATTCTCTATAGTGGAAGGATTACTTTTCAACTTTAGAGAGGCAATGTAGCTCAGTGTTTAATTGTCGGCAGTAATTAGGTACTGCAGCTGATTCCCTGGCTGAAAACCAGTATCCAAGATAGGAAAGAAAGCTAGCTGCCTGACAAGTAGGTCCCACTATAGAACATTTCCTAGTCAGAGCACTTTTTAACTAGGAGTTACCCATCTCCTAAGAAGATGGTTTTTCTTCTACGCAGATGTTGACATTTTTACATTTGCACTTTACACTCCACTAGGTAAGAATCTCTATTTCCTCCTTTCTCTCCCCAAGGCCACCTGCTCTGGGGACCATCTCTGGTTGAACCCAGTTCAGAGGAGTATGTGCTCCTTAAGGACGAGGCCTTCCTAGTAGTAATTTTGCTTCTTACACGTTTCTTTAGTTAATCACATATTTTTGGTTCAACAACAGACGATGAATTCAGCAACTATTATTGAAGACCCCTTATTTGCCAGATGTGCTGGAATAATAAAATTATTGGTCCTTTCATTTTAATGTCTATAATGCCTATGTCTCAGGTCCTTCCAGGTGTCAGGAGAATGCAACGGGTGAGCCAGATAGACAAGGTTCCCAGCCTAGCAGGAAAGATAAACAATTATAACAAAGAAGTGTGAAGAGTGTAAGGAAAGATAAGGAGTGTGGGAAAACATAGTAAGTGCATCTAATCTGACTAAATTGTGTGTGGGGGCGGGGGAGGAGGGATGGAGAATTAGAGGAGCAGCGTGAGTCTCTAAACTGAGAGGAATATAGAAGGAGAAGAAGGGTAGGACTTGACTACCCCTGCAGTGGGAATTGACATCAGATTTGCATTTTAGAAGGATTACTCAAGCTGCTTTGGAGTGCAGGTTAAAAAGAGACAAGACCAGAAAACCAGTTCAGATTTTTGTTAACAGTAGCCTGGGAAGGAAATACCAGTGGCCTGGAGTAAAAGCAGAGGGAATTAAGGGAAGCAACAGATAAGAGAGAGATTTAAGAGACAGAAACCACAGGGGTGTGTGGGGGAGAGGAGACATGGATGACAGATTTCAGCCTGGGCCACTGAATGAAGGTGGTGACATTCACTGAGAAGGGATCAAGGAAGAGGAGTAATGGGAGACAGTGAGTTTAACTTTGGACAAGTTTAATTTAAAGTGTCTATGTGACATTTGAGTAGAAACAGTGAACTGTTTGTTATTTACCTCTAGAGTTTCACATGGAGACCTGGGCCAGAGAGAGGTGAGTCATCAGCTAAACCATATATACCCAAATGTAAGGTGCCTCTGAATACAGGGTGAGGCCCCATTTTCCCAATTAAAATCCCTCCACTTAATAAAATTGTGGTCAACTTGAATGTATAAATCTTTAGAGACATAGGTGAAATAATCAAGAATCCACTTATAATGCTCAATGTGTTAATTGAATTATACTTACTTTAAATTACATATTTAAAGTAAAATGTAAAATGTAATTTAAAAAATAAAACATTTTATTTCTACAAAATGTAATTTTAAAAATAATTTTATTGAAAATCCTGATAGAGATTTGTGATCACCAAGGTCACATTTTGAATCTCTGATATTGCTTTTTTTTTTTAAGTACTTTTTTTTTCAGGTGCAGGCAGATCTTTTAAATTATGTATTCATTCAATTTTTTTGGCTGCGCTGGGTCTTCATTGCTTTGCCTGGGCTTTCTCTAGTTGCAGCTCTTGAGGGCTACTCCTCCTTGCAGTGCACAGGCTTCTCATTGTGGTGACATCTCTTCTTGCAGAACACGGTGATAGGGTGCACGAACTTCCGTAGTTGCAGCACACATGCTCAGTCGCTGCGGCTCCCAGGCTCTAGAGCACAGGCTCAGTAGTTGTGATGTATCAGCTTAGTTGTTCCGTGGCATGCAGAATCTTCCTGGACCAGGAATAAAACCCATGTCCCCTGCATTGGCAGGCAGATTCTTATCCACTGTGCCACCAGGGAAGTCCCTCTGACATAGTTTTAAAAGACACTCATCTCCCCTTCCCCCTAAGTTTTTGACTCTATAGATGATACTGTCACTGAGAATTTTATTCCAGACCACTATATCTAATCACATTATGTCATTCATCCTGTAATCATATTCACTATCATATCCTCTTCTATATCATCTTTCAAAGACTTGTTTACAAGGACATCCAATATTTGCAAACATGAAGGAATTTTTTAGAAGTAATGTCTAAATCTGTGTTAAATTTCCTTGTTTCCTTTCTTACCAATTCTGTCAGGTGGCTTCTAGATGAACATTGAATGAGATCATTGTGTACAAATGTGTGTTCCCCCAAAGAGCATTTTGTTGTTCAAGGACATTTTGAGGGTCAGAATGAATATAAAGTGACTCCCTCTTTTCTGAGAGATTATTGTATGCTGAAAGAGGGAGGGTGTTTGTCTTATACTCAGGTATATATGGTAATGCCAAGAAAGCATTTCAATTGTCCCAGGAAAGTTGAGGACTGAAAGGAAGGCTAGGTGAAAAGCCAAGGAACACTGGTATGTTTAAAGTATAGAACAGAAAGAGGAACTTGCAAAGAAACAAGCAGACACGAAAGAAAACCAGAGGCATATGGTACCACAGAAGCCAAGGAAAGAAAATGTTTCAGGACTATAGGAATGATCAGTAGTGTCATGTGCTCCCGAAAGGTCAAGTAAGGTAATATCTGAAAACCATCCGTTGAATCTGGTGATAAGGTGCTCATTACAACCTTAGTAAGTGCGTTTATAGCAGAGAGTAAGGCCACCTGATGGCTAAGGCTTGTCACTGAGTCTGAACACCTTTTTCAAGGAAGAAGAAGAAGGAAGAAAGAGTTGGGAATTCTCAAACGGATTTTGTTGAGAGGGGAGTGGACTTAAATGCTGATAAGAGGAGCAAATATAGAGGGATGTGTTGAAGATTCAAGAGAGAAAGGGGATGATTGATAGCTGTAGAAACAGCATAGTAGATAATTAGGCAGCCGTAATTCAGTAAAGCCCATGATTATCTGACCTCAGTAGTCTCAGGCAACTGGTAACAGGCGAAAAGGACTTCACAGAACAGAGTTACACCCTGGCCTTGTGGTTTCCAGGCAGCTT